CCTCTCTCTCTCTCTCTCTCTCTCTTTTTTCTCACCCTTGCTCTTTCTCCTACGCGTGTCGCTCGCCTCCCTCGCCCTGTTATTCCCCCCTTCCCAGGTGGCGCACGCCCACCCCTCCACCCCGCCAAGCGGGGAGAGCTTAGGGATTGTTTTAATACCCCCGATGGGCAGAATTGTGACCCAGTTCCAACCACGGTGGGAATATATAGACGCGACCTGAGCCGCGTTTTCACAAGTCGGTTAGAAGTGGCACGTGCGCATTACGTTGCCCAAAGAAACGTTTCTTTCTCTCCTCTCTTCTCGTTCGACAGGATGGATTATCGTCATTTTCCTCGAAACGGCTCGAAGGGGAAAGGGTGTACTTCGTTCGTGTTGCATTCGTGTTTTCTTTGCTTAATGGTGTAGAGTTGGAGAACCTTGATTCGAATGAAATCTTTTTTTTTAACAAGACACGTTGGAATAAGGCCAAGAACAAATTTAGACTCGTTCGATATCTTCGCGAGGGTTTGGAATTGAATTTGAATTTCGATCGACACCATTTTTTTTTTTCTTGTAAATAACGAATAATTCTTTCTTCCAATAAAATCGTAGGATTCAGTGCGTAGGATTTATCGTGCCATTTCCCGTTCTTATAATAAAACTTGTACCGTTACTGTACCGCTCATTAATACCGATTTCTGAGAAGCATCGACGAGGATTGGAATATATGTATGTATATATATACATGTACATAGAGGAAGGAATCGAGAAGAATGGCTCGGTTGGCGAAAGTTAATTTCCGCGAGACGGCAATGTCTCGATGAAAATGCAATGTCGTCGGAAGTTTCGCTCGATCACTCGTCGAATGATTTTCCTTCCGGTTTGTTGCGCTTACGTACAGGAGAGGGAAATAAATCTCTTGGCCCCAACAAAAGCGGAGATGAAGACCTCGCGAAATGAAACTTCCTTCTCCTCCGACGACGACGATGACGAGTTGATTCGCTTTCTTGATACCACGCTCGTGATAAATGAAGTGAACTAGATCCCCTCCATAATTACAATTCAACTTCGAATCTTATGCATAGCCCTCTATTCTTTTTTTTTCTTTTTCCTTTTTTTTTTTCTTTTTTTTCTATTTCTTATCGCATATGTAATTACGCGAAAACGGAATTCGTCTCCTTTTCTTGAATATACTCGAGCGTTTCCCCCGCGGCGGCTACCACTCTCTCAATGAGGAGTTTTAAAGGAAAGGGACGGTCTGCAATATCTGTAACAGCGAATGCACAGTAGAATTCGCCTTTCGGGGAACGAAAGTGTGTCGAAATTCGGACTTACCTCGGGATGAAATTCCACGTAACATTTAACCAATTGGAAGGCTTTCTCGCAAGGATCGTCATTTTCTAGATATATATATAGATATATAGATAATTATTTTATCTAGAGGAAATCTGTACAGAGATGGAGAAAAAGGAAAGAAAGAAATTTTTGGATGACTCACCGATAGATTTACACTTGTTGAACAATTTTTTCGTCGAGTCTTGCATGCTTCGTGGAAGGTGCCGAAGTGCTTTTTGCACGTCCACTTCTGCGTTCTTGTCCAGAATACCATGTTTCGTCATGAAACACTTCAAGTAGCATTTCAAGTTTTGGTCGTCCTGCTCCATATCTCCAGCCTTCATCTTTTTCAACGCCGCTGCAACATTGGAGGATTAATAAAATTGATTAATTAATTAATTAATTAATTAATTGACCAAGTGAAAAGTTTTCGAGTTTCAATAATGATTATTATAGAGAAGTTTAAAGTGGAATACCCCATGAAACTTTCGACTCTTTCCGGCAATCCTTCTTAATGTCCGCCTCGCCGAAATACTGAAAAAAGGGAACGCGAATCTTTTGAAAGAAATTTTTTTTGCGAATTCGATCCTTTCGTAAAGAATCCTCGCTTACCAAGAAAATTAAGGTTACAGCCAGTACGAAAAAGAAATGGTAATTTTTGAACATGTTTCCCCTGATGATTTCGATTCACGAAAAACGATATAGAAACTACCTCGGAGCCAAGATTCCAACTGAGACCTTATCAACTCAATAACCAGTTGTTATCCGACCATTCGCATAAATGTCAAAGTTTGTATAGATCAACGTGGCTCGTGCTTGCGTTTGGCGATTAATCAAGAAATCCAGTTCAAAACATTTCGCTAATTAATGATTAATATATCTATTAATCTTATACCGCATGTTAGAATGGATGCAACATCGATTTATCGAGTTTACTTGTACTTGTCCATCCTAAAGATAATTTGTCAGATATGGAAAATCGAGATATCGTATTCGACAAAAGCGATACGTAATATTAATCATGGGTTAATCATAGATAAGCTAGGGAATCACGGAATAAATGTATCTACATATATCGGAAATGGCGCGTATCGTATCGCATTGAGAGAATTTCAGGTGTTAAGAAAAAAAAAAAAAAAAAAAAAAAAAGTGGAAGGATTTCTTTGTTTCTCCTTCTCTCTTTTTCTCTTTTGTAGAAAGAAATGCAAAAAGAAGGATTGAACGACTCGCGAGTTTTTTCAAAGAAACGTTGAATCCCATGAATATTTTACTATTCTGTCTGTCGCGGAGTAAGTCAATTTGTCTTCCGTAGAACGAACAAAAAGCTTGCGAACTTTTTCCCGTGGAAGCCAGGCTAACGTTGAGATACGTCTTCGATCAACTGAAATATTTCAAACAGTTAAAAAATATTCTTTTCCTTTGTGTATTTCGTTCGTTGTTCCTTTCCTGTTAAGAACTCTTGTTGTACTCGTCTTGTACTTGTGCTGAATCGTCGAATCGAATTAAGCTCGATTACGAATTTCGTTAATCGTTAAAAATTTATTTTATTCTACATTGTTTATCATGGATATACGAATATTTTAAAATATTTATAAAAAAAGAAAAAGTATATAACGTTATTTGTATATTTTTCATTGGAAACGAAAAAATAATTTGACCGCTAAAAAACCGTTAAAAACAACATTCAATGTGTATGAATACGTGATCGTGTTACAAAGCAAAAGAGTAACGCTTAGAAAAACTCATATTAGATGCCTATAATATCAATCATTGTATTTATTTCCCTAGAAGGAATCAAAGTAACCTCAACAACAATAATAATAATAATAAAGGAAAATATATTTCTAGATTTTGGAAATGTAATATATAAATTGTCTATATTACGAAGAAACACCATTTATCTGTCATGTTTATATTATTCATGTTCATCGCATTCGGTGACTGGTTCTATCCCCTCTATCGCAATTACTATAAAGTGGGGGACCTATACTGGGGGACTTAACGGTTAAAGTTTTTTGACCTGAAGCCTCAGAAAGTGATCGTTTACGAAGGAGCGTAGAGTTCACGTTCCTTGAAACACTTGTGAAACATCTTAAGATTCAAACATTGTTGTTTGATAGAGAAGAAAAAAAGTATAAAAGTGAAATAAATATTCGTCATCACGTTATATCCCGCATATTTTCTGTATTCGAATTATCAGATAATATAATAGAATAAATTATTTTCAATCGTATCACGTGTTTCGCCTAACTTTATAATCATGTTCCCCTATTGTGAAATGTGACATAGTATGAAATCTCGATCGATTGTTCAAACATTCGGCTCACTTGTACATACTCGAACATTCGAAACTATCAAAGACAAGTTAAACACACGATGAACAAGAAGAAAGTGAAAAAAGATTCAATAAAGAAGAAATCGGACGAAACTTTTCAACAGATCGAATCTGTCTCTTCTAGTTGTGCCACTGAAAATGATTTAACCGATGATTTTGAAACGCACGAATTTCGAAATGATGAAACGAAAGAATCTATTGAAACGAAAGAATCTGTTGAAACGAAAGAATCTGTTGAAACGAAAGAATCTGTTGAAACGAAAGAATCTGTTGAAACGAATACGAAATCTCAATTAAGAAGAATTATAAAACGTAGAAATAAAATATATAACAGAGTGCAAAAAAAAATGAATGTGATAAAAAATATAACGTTATATAGCGATTATTTGGTGATTAATTTGTTAAGAATTTTTTTTTTTATTTTTTTTATATTAATTTTGACTTAACAATTATAAATTTACTCGTAGGAAGAAAAAACAACAGTCTTGGAAAAATGTTCTATCAAGCACGAAGATCTTTGTATATTGACAATTGATTTATTAAATGAACTTTTATTGTTAGCCAAAAAAATTAGTCCGGACTTATTATTTTTTATAATCAAATACATCATGAAAATAAAGAATATATCGAAAGAAGGTAAGTTAATAAATAATTTCGAATTATTATTTTATGAATGTGTTGTATATATTCGTTATTAAATACAGATAAATACAGATAATGTTTTTATCGTATGTAATTAAGGTGATACGTGTTCTTTCAATTTTTTTGTAATATAAAGTTAGAAAAAAGTCTCTTAGCATAGCACAGAAGAGTATATATTTAGTCGTAAAAATTGATAAGCATATGACATTTGATATGTTTGATGTAAATATGATTTCTTTTATGAAAATATTACCGAAATCAATCGATCAAATTATTTACATTCCTTTAAGGAAATTTGTTTCTAGCTTCACACGATACATTGCACATGTAGTCCTTTCATGATTTTACGCGTGAATGATAATTACACATATTTTGGTTATGTACAACAATATATGTCGACAAATTTTAAAAGAACATGAAGAGAGAAAAAAAAAGACATTTTACATTTTTGTAGTAATGATACGAGACTATTTTTGGTTCTATTCTTAAAGAGAAATATAAAAATAAGAGATTGTGTACGTATCTGTCTTCGTTGCACTTTAAACTTTTTGCGCATCGTTACCCTGATTCTAGCAGAAGAGTCTCGTCTTTTAAATCGACTCCCCGCGCGAGTTTTCTTTGTCGTGTGCGCAGTACTCTGCGCAGTAAACAAGCTGCGCTAGTACGTACGAGGTGTGTTATCATACCGGATTAATCAAATAACACATCGATTGAACATTTTTCCTCGCGTCGTGAATGCGAAATAACTTTACGTACATATGCGGCGCGTATTGTTTGATTGCATAAGAAATCTGCGATTAAGGAACGTGCGATGAATTAGGTTATGTATCGTCTAGGAAAAAAACAGCAGTGGCGCTGCGGACATATCACGGCACGAGTATAATTAAAATCAATGTAACAGTGCAGTGTTTCGAGACGAACTTCTTTTAGGTGCATTTATCTGTTGGGCAAGAAATGTCGAACGGATTAACAGTGTTGAAAGATGAAAAAGACATCAAGGAAACAAGTATGAAATTCACATCGATTTTTTTAATAAACCATCGTGTATACATTTTTCATATTCGTATTCTTTTTATTTCAATCTCTAGACTGCAATATATCCATGGGTAGTGATTTCATTCCCCTATCTCCCACAAAGGGATTACAGGAAGGACACCTGACAGGGGTGAGTTTCAATTAATTAAATTTATTTTTAGTGCAGAAATCTGTTTCAAATCCATAGCAGTAGCTTGTTGTCCTCTTCACAGATGGAGCAGCCAAACATTTGCAAACAAATTTTGAAGAGACCTGCTGAATCGGAATTTGAAGGTCAGTGACCGATTCAATATCATGTTATTAAGTATTTAGTTATTATGCATATATGGTATATTAATCCTTTTAATAGAAACAAGCGGAACACGGATCACCTTATAAATTTTTCAGGTCCAAGTTTTTTTGAACAAAGAGAGATCTGGAAGGAAATATCAAACAAAATTAATATATCTGTTATTTTTGTTAGGTGCATCTAGTCCAAAGAAGCGTCACAAGAATCCACAGCCCAAGAATGCAGTATGTGCTCTAAATGAATTAAAAAGTGGTGCAGTGTATAAAGTTGTTGATCAAACTGGCCCCACACATGCTCCAATATTTACAATAGCGGTACAAATTGATGGTCAAACTTATGAAGGCAAAGGACGTACTAAGAAAATGGCAAAACATGCTGCTGCTGAACTTGCATTAAGAAATATTGTTCAGTTTAGAAATACACCAGAAGTTCATCAAGCTATTAACACTTGTCAACCTTCTATTCCCCTTGAACCAGATTTTACGAGTGATGTCACGGAACGCGATAATCATCTAGTCAATGCTTTTAAAACTTTAACTCAAGAACCAAAAAATACAAATAAATTTTTAGAAAAAGGTCCTGTAGCGCTTATTAATGAATTATATCCTGGTGTAGTATATAAATGTGTTTCTGACAACGGTGAAAGCTATGCAAAATTTACAATATCGGTAACAATCGATGGAGAAACATTCGAGGGAACTGGACCAAGTAAAAAATTAGCAAAAGCTGCGGCTAGTAAAGCAGCGTTAGCTAAATTAAGGAACGTTCACAGTTCCTCGTTCTGCATACCGCTTCCGGTTCGCGTTTTGCCAAATTTTCCCAGTAGTGGCCATTGGCAAGATCAGATGTCTTTACCTCAAATGTTAGCTGATAAAATTGGGAAAATGGTGAATCAAAAATTTAGCGAATTAATTCAATCAAAACCGCAACATGCTCGTCGCAAAGTTTTAGCTGGCATTGTTCAAACTAAAGGTTCAGATGCGGAACTGATATGTGTAACAACTGGTGAGACATAGTTTTTATAAATATTATTTTTCTTTTTCCTGTAAATCAAAATTGATTTAAAGGAAAGAATTATATTGTTTATTTTAAATAAACAAAGGTACAAAATGTGTCTCGGGGGAACATCTGAGTGTCAGCGGTGGTGCACTGAACGATTGTCATGCCGAAGTGGTAGCGAGAAGATGTTTATGCGAATATTTGTATAAACAATTGGAACTTCATACGGAGGACCGGGCTGCGGAATCTATTTTAGAACCGGCAAAGAAAGGATTTAAATTAAAACAAGGCATTCAATTTCATTTGTATATAAATACCGCACCATGTGGTGATGCAAGAATCTTTTCACCTCACGAAGAGAATGAATCCGTCGACAAACATCCAAATCGAAGAGCAAGAGGTCAATTGCGAACTAAAATAGAATCCGGAGAAGGTACCATTCCCGTAAAAAGCAGCGAGGGTATCCAAACGTGGGACGGTGTGCTTATGGTATGATGTATTTCAAATATACTAAATACGGATGAAGCAAATATCTTCAATAATTCTTATATAAAGAATTCTTCTGTACGCAAATATTTACTTCATCTTACAGGGCCAAAGACTGCTGACGATGTCGTGTTCGGACAAAATAGCTCGCTGGAACGTACTTGGCGTGCAAGGTGCACTCTTGAGCTACTTCATCGAGCCAATTTACTTCCACAGCATCGTTCTTGGCAGTCTATTGAACCCAAGCCATATGTATAGGGCGGTCTGCGGACGTATTGAAAATACGATCCAAGGATTACCGCCTCCATACAGACTCAATAAACCACTCATGAGTCTTATTACTTCGTCAGAGGTGAGACAGCCTGGAAAAGCACCTAATTACAGCGTTAATTGGACAATCGGTATGAAAAAAAAAGAAAAAAGGAAAAAAAAAAAGAAAAGAAAGAAAGAAAGAAAAGAGAGAAAAGAAAAGAAAAGAAAAAGTACACGAGGAATTCTATCATAATTTGATGTATTTTATAGGTCAACTAGAAGCTGAAGTAATAAATTGTACTACTGGAAAAGACGAGTTAGGAAAACCTTCTAGAATATCAAAACAAGGACTGTTCAGAAGATTTTACAACTTATTAGGTAAACTTAATACTATTGAAGATGCTGATAAAAATCAGTGTCGTCATTATTTAGATGCAAAATCTTCCGTACAAAATTACTCGGTAAGTCGAAATATTTTCGTTATACATCAGTGCGAATTGCGTTCATCACTATTTCGTTCGATTTTCTCTACAACAGCTTGCCAAGCATCAGTTGAAGGAAGCTTTCGTAAAGGCACATCTAGGCAGTTGGGTTAAGAAACCAATCGAACAAGATATGTTTGAAGTTGATATCTGACTAAATCAGGGTAACGATAAGATCTCGGCAGATGATACGATTTTTCGGCTGTCAGACTACGTAGTTCCTACTGCAAACTAGACCACTCGTTCAGCGTGTTATGATATGGCAGAATGCGGCATCAGTAAAGCATAAATCGTAGGTTCTCATACATGTCTGGTGATTTTGGTTATACGATTCTGTCGTATATATATCGTGTGTTCAGAGTGTAAAAAAAAAGAAAAAAAAAGAAAAGAAAGAAAGAAAGAAAGAAAGAAATAAGCCCTTGATGGTTACTGGTTATCTTGTCTTCGAGCCGTCGAAGGTTTTACGATTCGATAGTTGCTCAGTTTAGATATAGGGTTATCATAACTTTCGATACTTCGAATTATAATCTTAATCATTAGTGTGATGTCAATTTCGACAAATTTTATAGACTGGTAGATATATAAAAAATAATGAATTTTATTTCGCAACACAAATCAGGCAAAGAAAGATTACACAAAGATTGTGAATTTACTATTTGCGTATGTATTGAATTCGATCAATTTTAATATTTGACACATATCTGAAAATCAGTTTTATGATCGGGAATTTTTAAAGCGGATATTTAATAATGGGAAAAAAGTAAATACCTCTCGGTAATTACTCTAAATTAACTATTCGTAAAGAGGGGGAGAAAAAAATTTAAATTGACAAAACATCTCGGGTTTTTATTCGTGCCTGCAGTATTTTCTAGGCTTTAGAAGTAACAGTGATATATAACGTGCATCAAGTTACATCCCTAAAGGCTGTGACCGAGTATAGAATTGTTAATGCAAATTAAATACTTTGTTGCGAAGTTCAACGAAATAAGACAGGAATCGATTCCTTGTCGGCGCATTAAATTTCTTTCGAATCTATTATTTTCTTTAAAAGAATCCTTCGTTTTTTTTTTTAAAGGTGTAGCACTGGATTATTTTTTATAATAATAATAATAATAATCGTCGACAAAGAATCGGCCCTCGACAGTTCGACGTTGTTATTATTGGTTTTTATAGGGAACAAATGACAGAGGAACTGTGTGATTAAGAATTAGCGTGAAAGTATGGATGAATTATAATGGTGAGTGTAGAAATATATTATATTAATAATAGTTTAGAGAATCCTAAGATCATTGCCTCACTGTGCCAGTATTATACACTTAATGCGATTCTGCCGTAATGACACACTGCCCGGTGTCGGTCCAGTTTTGCATGAGAAACTCGACAAATGTACAAATTAATTTCGTTGCAGTATTTCATATTAGAATTAGAAGCAATCAAACTTCAAAAAAAAAAAAGAAAAAAAAAAGATATATAATATTATTGAATTTTATTTATTATATAAGAAGTATTAAGATTTATTTGACGATATTATATATCGTATTTCCGTTTCTATTCCTTTTTTTTTNTTTTTTTTTTTTTTTTTAACAATGATTCCATCGGTATGTAAAAATATTTAGTAATCAAGTCGGAACCAAACATAATATAATGCCAAAGATAAGCTAATTTAACCGATGTTCGCTTATTTTTAATAAATTTTATTGTTTACTGTAATTTATAATTCTTTCTATATTGACATGTAATGTCACCGACGATTAATTGTTCTTGGCGCTTCATGTATAAAAAGAACAAGTTTTATGAATAATCGCATTTCGCTGCTTGCTTCTTGCCTTTTGCATATATTAAATGTGAATTTAATCTTTATGAACACGCATTTAAATTACTTACATATAGTATATACTAACTTTTTCGTCCAAAATAACCAAATTAGCACTTCACTCGTGAAAAGTAATCTCTTTTTAATCTGGATCGACTGTATTTACGGAATTAATTTGTGGTGTATCGAGAAAGAGAGAGAGAGAGAGAGAGAGAGAGAGAGAGTGCGAGCGAGTGAGAAGAGAGAGAGAGAAGAGAAGAGAAGAAAAA